GAGTTTCTAACACACCAGAAGCATTCTACTGCCCAATCCCTGGTGAAGCCTCCATGACCTGCATCTCCTGGCCCCTGGCAACCTGTCCAGATTCACCTTCTCCACTCTCCTCCTCTCTTACGGTAAGCCCTCCTGTTTTTAAAAGCTCCCTGCTCTTACTACTGGGCTTTTACACACGCCATTCTTTCTTTCTGAAATACTTTCCCCACCCTACCCTATTGCCTAGTTTTACTTCAAAATTCAGAAGTTATTTCTTCAGAGAAGCCGTCTTTGACCATCTGAAGCAGGAGTTCTCAAACTTATGTCTCACAATCCCCTGAAAATGTTTGAAAACAGGCACTGGACCCCATCCCTAGAGTTTCTAATCCAGTGGGTCTGGGGTGGGAACTGAGAATGTATATTTCTAACAAGTTCATAGTTGATGCTGAGGCTGCTGGTCCAGGGACCACACTTTGAGAACCACTTCCCTAGAGCACACCAGCCCTTTGCATTACAGGCACACCTCGTTTTATTGCGCTTTGCCGATATTGCATTTTGGTTTTTTGTTGTTTTTTTTTTTTTTACCAATTGAAGGTTTGTGGCAACCCTGTGTGTAACAAGTCTATGGGCAACAATTTTTCCACCAGCATTTGCTCACTTCGTGCCTCTGTGTCACATTCTGGTAATTCTCACAATATTTCAAACGTTTTCATTATTTTTATATTTGTTACAGCGATCTGGGATCAGTGATCTTTGATGTTACTGTTACAAAAAGATTAGGACTCGCTGAAAGGCTCAGATGATGGTTAGCGTTTTTCAGCAATAAAGCATTTTTAAATTAAGGTATGTATACCTTTTTTTTAGACATAACGCTATTTACTGCATGCTTAATAGACTACAGTATGATGTAAACAGAACTTTTATGTGCACTGGGAAACCGAAATCTCACGTGACTTGCTTTATCGCGATATTAGCTTCATTGCAGTGGTCTGGACCCGAACCCGCAATGTTTCCAAGGTTGGCCTGTCTATGCTTTCGCGGCCCTATGTTCCTCTCCTTCAAACATTTTCATGCCTGAAATTTTACATGTTGCAGCATAATTATTTGTTTGACTCATCTTTCTTCCCCACGAGACCACAAGCTCCAGGAGAGCAGGGATGATTTTGCCCCCAGCTCTACCCCTGGGCCTAAGCTCAGCACTGGGCACATAGTAGGTCCTCAGTAAAAATGTACTGAAGGACTGAACGGTGAAAAATTGCAAACAGCGTGGAGGAAAATACATTTTAAAAAACTCAACTGATTACTCTTCAGACCTAAAGAATCAGCATCAAATGGCGACCTTGAGATTCAATTGCTCCAAGAGCTCAGTTCTTGAGGGGAAGTCCAGTCACAAGTCGAGAACAGAAACCCCTTAAGGCCGGGAGCTGGGCCAGCCCAATCCACGCTTCCCTGGGGACTTCCCCACCCCAGCCAACTGAGAGTGCCCAAAGGACACAGAGATGACACAAGCGGATCCCCTAGGAGACTGTCAGAAAGCTGGAACCCTGCCAGACAATGGGGCCTTCCGAAAACCACCTTTATTGAAAGTAAATGGTGGACGATAAGCGAGATCAAGGGAGTTGCTGAGAAGAGAGATCAAGACAGGCCAGAGGAACATCCTTTAGGAGGATAAGCCGACTCTAGAATTCACACAACTTTGATTATTTTTCACTGAAAAAATTTAAAAAATGAAAGCATTGGTAAGAAAAGTCTGGGCCTTGAGAAAAAAGAGCAGAGATGTTAGGAGACAAGACATCGCCAAGGTGGGTCATTAAGCTCCCTGAAAGAATTAGCACAAAGATAGTCAAAGGCAAGATGTCACTTCCCCATGGCTTCTCCAGAGATGGAGAAGAGGGTAAAGAGAGGGAAGCCAGGGATAGGTGAGGGCAGCAGGGCACTGTGGAAAGAGAGATCGTATTAGCAAAGAATGGGATGCTCTCTCCACATTAAGATGGCAGACAGCAGAGCACTCTTCCGAGAAGGAAACCATACACAGACCCAAAGGGCCCCAGGGGCGCAGGGCCCCAGGGCAGAGGGAAGCACATGACAAGCGAGGCCGCAGGTCACCTTGAGGGAGCCAATGGCTGATGAGACATCTTTTCCAGACCGTGCATCTCAGATCCTGAGGCAGGAGTTCCAGAGCAGACGCATGTCCTCAAGCTTTCCTTTGTGGTGGAATGGAAAGGTTGCTCCAGGGCTGCTGAGTTCCTCAAACTTGCATCTTGGGGCTGTGACTCCCTCTGGGTGTCACAATTTCAAGATAGTTCAGGCAGTCTCCAGGAAAGGCCAGTGCTTATGTGGTCGACCTGCAAACACGGTGAATTCAAATTTGTCCTGGAGCAAGTGTCCAGGACAGAGCAAGGTGATGGAGTGCCCCGGTGGCCCAGTCAACAAGCAGCCCGTGGCTGGGTCAGGGTTTTGTCCACCTGGGAGCAGACCGAGAATGGCCGTCCATCTGGAATCTCTGGACAACGCACATTTTCTGGCAGGGAAAGTAGGAGATGTTTTAACATGAGTTCTTTTCAATACACAGTCATATGCTAGAGGCCTGAAGTTGGTGGAAAATCTGCTCCATGGTATTTTGGGGGAAATGGTAAGAGAGAAGGATAATAGGATAATAGAAGGCAGATGGGTTTGGAGTTTAGGTTTGGGTATTAGCTCTCTTTTTAGCTACGGGATGCTGGTTGATTTCCTCTTTGAACCTCTGTTTTGTGATTTGGAAAAATGAGTACCATAGCTTCTTTGTAGGGACTGTGTGATGAGAAAAGGAAATAGAAGTGTAGGACCTGGCATTAGAATAAGTACTCAAGAAACGGTAGCCAAAATCGTTGTATGAATAGATTCTGCTCGCCCCCATTGGCTAGTTTCTAAAGAGTTCTTTCTAGAAGGAGAGAAGAGGCTCCAGCTCTAGCTGTCCCTGCAGAGGTGACACCACTGACCTCTGGCCGGCAAACCCTGCCCTCTCCCTGTCCAGGTGGGAGCTGGGGTTCCTGCAGCTTCCCCAGTATCTCAGAGCTCTGCTCCCCCAAGTTTTCTCCCCATCACAAAGGACAAAATGTTAGCTTTCTTTCCTTGCAAGCATTCAGAATCTTGGTCGGCACCTCGCCAGGGGGGTTGAGAGGCAAGGAGACAGTGCAACTAAGGGCCGTCAACATAATGACAATAACGACAAACATTTGTAAAACTATTACCAGGACTCCACTAAACGTGTGGCATGCGTTGTCTCATTTCATCCTCAGGATTGATTTTCATGAGGATCCTAGGAGTTTTCAGGTAGGATCCTATCCCTTTTAAGAATGGACGACACTGAGGCTTGGAGTGGGCGTGTGGGTGAGTAGCTTGGACAAGGCTGCACGGCTAGTAGGTGGCAGAGCCGGGTTTCCAACCCAAGGAGGCTGTCCCTGGAGCTGGTTCACACAGCACTTAGTCCTGTCCCTCCTCCACAGCATCCTTAACAAAACAGCCAGTCCTAGGGAGGGTGGGGCTGTGGGCTCTTCCAGAAACGGAGAGGCCTCCAGTGCAGACATAAAGGGAGACCACTGGACCACCTGAATCAGGAGGCCGGGAGGACAGGAGGCATTCAGGCCCAGCTTAGAACATCTCAGGGAATCACTTTCCTTATCTGTTCTGAATAGGTTGTCCTGAAAAACGGTCCAGCCTGTGACACGTTATCTCTCCCCAGTCCTGCCCCGGCAGGCAGAGTGCCTACCAGATACAGGAGAAGAGTACAGTCTGTTAACTGCCAAACAAAGGGAACGTCCCTGCCCAGAAACAGTGCAGCTACTCACAACTGATGGTGCCAAAGGAACCTAGTAGGCTCTTTGGGAAAGGCCTTAACTCTGGAATCACAGAGGCCAGCGCTGGGCCGGACACAATTTCCTATTTGATGGGCAAAGAGGGTCCAGATGTGTATTCCCTTCTGGGGATGATAAAAAATCAGTATATCCAGCAACACAGGAGGCACCCCTATACACACACACACACAAACACACATACAAAAATACACACAGACACACACATGCAAACAGAGACACATGAACACACACACAGATACACACAAACATACACATACACAAACACACACAGACATCATACAAAGACACACACAGACACAGACATAAACACAGACACATGAGAGATCCTGCTTCAACCAGAACAGCTTTTCTTTTGTTTCCCTCTAAGATTTGAACAAAGAGGTCTACTACTCTAAAAAAAAAAAAAAGAAAGGTCTACTGCTTTAAAGAAAAAAAAAAGAAAAGGCTAAAACCAAGAGTTTAGCAATTTTGCTCTCAAAATACACTTATTTTTTTCTGATTATACAAGTAATATATGCTTATTGACAAAATTGGAAACTATAGAAAATTAGGAAGGAAATAAGTCACTGGTTAATCCTTTTCCCCTAGAGGTTTCCCTTTGATGGGGGATATAAGCTCATCAGTTTCAAGAAAAGCCAGACTTCAAGAATGACTAAAATTCACATAATCTCTAATTAGGAAGTGAGTATCAGGTTCGGCCAGAGAGAGAGAAATGCAATTGAAATGAGGGACGGATGAGGGAGAAGAAGTCTGAGGGAGGGAGGTGGGGTGTGGCTGGTGTGTAAGAGTTTCCCTCTGAGAATCACAGCATCATGGGGATTAAATGGTGGTTCCATTGACCCCGGTTGGAACCTTCATGAGGGATGAGGACAGAGAAGACGGCTCTCAGCTTGCTGCCTCCTGTCCACACTCAGGGACACACCTGGGCTCAGGAGAGGTGAATGATGCAACAGGATCACGAGACACATGTAAGCGCTAACATACTGTCTGGTCAACTGCATGTGAAGGGAAAGACCTACTGTCACTGAGTCCAGGTGAAACTTCTAGTCCGAGAGGAAAGTCAAAAATGCTGAAGACAGTTGTCCTGTGAACACTGTGGCACTGACACTATAAGATGGGTCGGCCAGCGTTGGGACCCTGCTGTCACTGCCGTGTTCGGGTCAGACATTACTGATGCACAGCGGCATACTCATCACAGAGCTCTGGGGAGGCCTCCGAACCCTTCTCCACAAGGCTCCTGAAAGAGATGAGGACAAAAGGGAGAGGGAAACCCAGGGCCGAGGGCTGTGGGCACAACCAGCAGGACGGGCTTCATCCACGGTCCGGGGAAGCACACGCAGACAGCAAGTGTCTCGCGCAGATAGCAGTTGGCGTATCTGTGCGACGGCATCTCTGCCGCCTCAGACGGACATTCCGGGTCACGCTTGTCTCTGAGTCTCAAGATAAAAACAAGTACTCTTCAGAAGCTATCAAACAGTTCTCTAAAGAGGCAGGCTTTGAAACCGGGGACTGAGTCAGGACGAGCTGCTTATCTGGAAAGAGGCCCCACCACCTGCAGAAGTGGAAGATAATATTTTTATAAAAACGGCCAAGTCTCTAAGAGGGGGGTGTCTAAACCCTTGGGGCTTCAGTGTGAATCTGGGGTCCTAGGAGATCAAATAAAGACAAATGCAACCAGTGAAAAAGGCCCAAGCAAAAGTCCTGGGTCAGGATCTGAACAAGAAAAGTTTCTGGCCTGTTTGCAATAATCATCTGAGGGGACCCAGAAGAGGTATCTGACTAAGAAACAGGTTTTAGATTTCTGATGAAATGTATATAATGCTAACAACAATAAGGCTAGTTTCCAAATTAAACCAGACGAAGCAAGATATGGCCCTGAGATGTCCTATCTGGACAATTCCATGTCTCAAAAGCTTTTGCATCTCACAAAGAAAACTTTTTTTTTTTTTAAATAGCAAAACGGTGGTGTATTTGGGTTGCTTTAAGCGAATAAAACTTAGTTTATTTCTCATATTCAACTTAAAGTACAAACCCCTATTCATTGATTTTAGTGTACCTCTGGGCGCTTCCTTTTTCCTGCCTGGGTCGGTCTGAAAGATTCTGATGCTTTATCATGGGAACATGGTCTCACCCACTGGGAGTGTTATCACTGAAATTGCTCACACTTCTCCTGGGAGTGGAGAGGCGGGGTCTACAGCTCTCTGGAAGGTCAAGACCAACGTGAGTGGCTGAGCCTGCCAGGTGAAGGCGTGGCCTGGGAGGATGGAAGGCAATGGGAGCTTAAAGCGTCCATGACACACCAGTCCCATTCATGGTGCCACTACTTTACGTGAGGGCGATGGGGACAGAGATGGTGGTGACTGAAGCTGCAGGTTTCAAGCGTGCTGTGGGCCAGCACTTACGTCCCTGGAACTATCCAGTATCAGGACAACCTCTGGAGGGGCTCCCCCTATCCCCGTTGGATGGATAAGGAAATCAATACAGAGAGAGTAATGAACTTGTCCAAGGTTATTCAGCAGAAACCTAGCGAATCCAGGCTTTGAACCCACATCTGGCGGAGCCCCAAACTATCCTCCCCTCTGAAGCCTCTTATCCATTTTCTGCCAGTTGGTCAGTTTTCAAAGAAGCGTCTTGCCTAAGAGACCTTTTGCAATCCTGGAAAGTGGGAATTTCCTTCCTCTGAAGGGGGGTGTATTTAGTATTTAGATAATGTCCTCTGACTGGTTACAACCATGGACTTGGGCTGGACTGGGATCTCGGGGGGTCTCCCTGGTGAGGGGTGGGCATTCCCTGGACATGTGTTTTTGTGCCGGGGGCTCTGGGTGCCTGTGTGCTGGGCCCTCACTGCTGCCCTGGTTCCTCTTCCTTCCTTTTCGTTATCTGGCTCTTATCAGCACCACCACTGCTGGCACAAAAGGCATGTGTGGAGAACAAGGAAGGCCGAGGAAAGAAGCCGAGAAGGAAGGGGTCAAGAGTCTGCTGTGACACATCACTCCCCATAATAATGGGGTCCCGTAACCTCTTGGAGGTTTGTTAACTTGTTTTGCCACGTAAAATGGAGTAAGGGTGACCCATAAGTGAAACTATACTTAAAGGTCAACATTTTTACCATTCTGCATTTTTTCCCCAAAGATACTAGGAAAACAGATAAAACCTGCATTCCTTGTGACTTGCCTCACCTGAAAATTTATTTACCCTAGGTACACTGACAGTATTTCTATAATTTTTATTTTTTAAAATTAATTAATTAATTAATTCTTGGCTGCATCGGGTCTCCGTTGCTGCGCGCAGGCTTTCTCTAGTTGCGGCGAGCGGGGGCTACTCTTCGTTGCGGTGCACGGGCTTCTCATTGCGGCGGTGGCTTCTCTTGTTGGGGAGCACGGGCTCTAGGCGTGCGGGCTTTAGCAGTTGCAGCACGTGGGCTCAGTAGTTGTGGCTCGCGGGCTCTAGAGCGCAGGCTCAGTAGTTGTGGCGCACGGGCTTAGTTGCTCCGCGGCATGTGGGATCTTCCTGGACCAGGGCTTGAACCCGTGTCCCCTGCATTGGCAGGCGGATTCTTAACCACTGCACCACCAGGGGAGCCCTCTATAATTTTTTAAACTGAAGTGTAGTTGATTTACAATGTTTCAGGTGTGTACAGCAAAATGATTCAGTATATATATACATATATATATATATATATATATATATATATATATATTCTTTTTCAGATTCTCTTCCTTTATAGGTTATTAGAAGATACTGAATATAGTTCCCTGTGCTATACAGTAGGTCCTCGTTGTTTATCTTTCTTATACACAGTAGTGTGTATCTGTTAATCCCCAACTCCTAATTTATGCCTTCCCCCTCTCCCCACTCCGCTTTGGTAACCATAAGTTTGTTTTCTATGTGACACTATTTCTAAAAAAGAACACTTTGCCCAGCCCACCGTCGATTAGAAAAGTGGGTTTAATAGAGTGAGGTCACGAAAGTAAGAGAATCAGATCAGTGATCAACATCTTCACTACTATTAGAAGATTTCATATTTTTCCTGTCTGTATAAAGATCTACAAAGTATGAATAACTAAGCACATGAACTCAGAGAGGGCGAATGACCTCAGAGGGATCCCAGGGACTTGGTGAAATGGAACTTAAGCCTGGCACACGGGTATATCCTGTTCAAAGGAAAGGGACTCGCTGGACAGGGACAGGAAGGGGTATGTCTGCAGAGGTATGGAAATCCCACCACAGACTCCAGTGCATTTTGTGCGAGCGTGACAGGCAAGGGCAGGGGTGAAGGTGCTGTTGTGCACACTGCAGATGATGGCAGGACGCTAGATGGGGCGGATCTCTCCTACTTTGTGCTACAAAAGTGGAACAGAAGCGAGAGAGAGCAGTGGTAAGGGGATCAATCATCCAGGCACCGAGAGGCTCATTACGTAAAGCAGAGGAACTGATAAAGGGAAGAGTTAGATTTGAGGAAATCGCATTTTTTTTTAAACATCTTTATTGGAGTATAAATGCTTTACAGTGGTGTGTTAGTTTCTGCTGTATAACAAAGTGAATCAGCTATACATATACATATATCCCCATATCTCCTCCCTCTTGCGTCTCCCTCCCACCCTCCCTATCCCACCCCTCTAGGTGGTCATAATCGCATTCTTTTAAACGAAGAGAAGAGATAGGCAGCTGGCTGAATCACTTAGCTGTACAGCAGAAATTAACACAACACCGTAAATCAACTATACTTCAATAAAATAAATTAAATAAAAAAGATAGGTAGGAGCCTATGGTCTGCGACTCTGAAAAGGGAGGAACTCAGGAGGGAGAGTAGGAGCTGCAAGAACTGAATCTTGACTAATCCCAGAGACGTGGCAACGGGTATGAATCTAAAGGAGCTATTGTGTTTTTCGTGACGTGTTTGGTTTAGAAAAGGACACGGACAAAGATAGAAGGAAGGGCACAGTACCAAGGACGAACTGAGAAGAGTGACACATTTCTGTGAGAACAGAGCTTGGCCTGAGCTGAAGCTTGCAAAAAAAATGCTAAAGTTGGCAAAAAAAAAAGGAAAGGAAAGAAAATAAGACAAAAAGGGAGCTGGTGGTGGATTATTTTTAGATATGATTTTAAAAAGGAGGAGGTCCATTTCTTGGGGATCATGGTGGCATGTTAACAGAGGATAAAGTTAAGAGGACCCAACTCCCCGTTTGATGTCTAGCCTTTCCATAGAAGCTAGTGGTCTTAAAACTAGATTTAAAGAAGCGTCTTTAGAAGAGCACCAGACATGCAGGCAGGGGATGTAGTATGCCAGTAAGGGGTGTGTCCTTTTGGCCACTTTAAGTCCAAATCTCCAGGCCCTGCAGGCTCCCATCTCACGCCCCTGGACAAACCAACAGAGAGGATAGCAGAGACAATGTACTCGATCCCTGAAAAAACTAATGGAGACTGGGAAGATTCCAAAAGATTGTTGTCAGCAAATGTCCCAATTTACCCAAACGGGGGGAAAGATACAGTTCCTACTATGTGAACCAATAAGCCTGGCAAAATTTTAATTAAGATGTAATTTAGGGAAGGTTTTTAATCCCTTTGGAAAGGATGGATATTGAGAACTAGAACAGGTTGGAGAAAAACAAGCCAGACTAAATGACTTATTGGCTTTTCCCCCTCTCCTATATGCTACCTAAGGGCACAGACCGGAGAGGGCCCCAGTTACTGTGTATCTTGAAGCCCAAAAAGAAAAAAAACAAAAAAACCCCACCAGCCCTGTATCTATTTAGTTCCTGACAACAAGGGCTACGTGATGACCGAGGCTCACAGATCCCTGTGACTGGGCTTTGGCCAGTCTTGAGCCTGTCCTACTATCTCAGGCCTCTGTGCCTTTGTCATGCTGTGTTCCCTCATGTGGAATAACCTTCCCTTTGTCTGGCTGTTTGTCCTTCAAAACTCAGCTCAAATTGCGCCTTCTCTGGGAAACTTTCTCTTCTGCTCAGTATGAGTTAGAAGGCCCTGATATAGTCTGACTGTGTTTTCTGAGCTCCACATGTTGGAATCCTAATGCCCAATGTGATGGTGGTAGAAAGGCGGGGCCTTTGGGAGGTGATTAGGTCCTGAGGGCGGAGGCCTCATGAGTTGGATTACTGCTCTTATAAGAGAGACCCTACTGAGCTCCCTAGCCCCTTCTACCACGTGTGGATGCCACCTGAGGATACAAGGAGAAGTCTGAGATTGGGAAAGGGGTCCCCAACCGACCACACTGGTACCCCAATGTGACTTCCAGGCTCCAGAACTGTGAGCAATAAATTTCTGCTGTTTCAAGCCACCCAGTCTATGGTAGTTTGTTATAGCAGCCCGAACGCACTAAGACGGTCCCTTGTCCACGCTTGCCAAACCCTCCGGGTGCTCTGCTGTCAAAGTGTTCTTTTCCTGGGAGCAACGACATGTTCCTTATCTGTCTCCCCAGTGCCAGCTGCCCCCTGAAGGAGTTTGTATCTCCAAAGCCTGCACAGCGCCATGCACACCAGCGACCCTCAAGACACGAGGGCTGCTTGCAGGAGTTTTGCTGAGAGGTTCAAAGTCAACCTGAGGGGAGTTGTCTCTAATTGTTTTCTGTGGGCTTCTCCAAATCTAGACTTTTATCAGTGCCTTGGACGAATAATATACTTTCAAGAAACCATAAAGCTGGGAGAGAGAGATAATTAGATGAAAGGCTCAAGGTTCAAGATCTAACAATCTACAGTTTGGCCATAAAGCCTGAAAACGTAGATAACTTTTTTTTTTAACATCTTTATTGGAGAAAATTGAATTACAGTGTTGTGTTAGTTTCTGCTGTATAAGAAAGTGAATCAGCTATATGCATACGTATATCCCTGTATATCCCCATATCCCTTCCCTCTTGCGTCTCCCTCCCACCCTCCTTATCCCACCCTTCTAGGTGATTGCAAAGTACGGAGCTGATCTCCCTGTGCTATGCGGCTGCTTCCCACTAGCTATCTATTTTACATTTGGTAGTGTATATATGTCCATGCCACTCTCTCACTTTGTCCCAGCTTACCCTTGCCCCTCCCTGTGTCCTCAAGTCCATTCTCTAAGTCTGTGTCTTTATTCCTGTCCTGCCCCTAGGTTCTTCAGAACCCTTTTTTTTTTTTTTTTTAGATTCCATATATATGTGTTAAGATACAGTATTTGTTTTTCTCTTTCTGACTTACTTCACTGTGTATGACAGTCTCTAGGTCCATCCACCTCACTACAAATGACTCAATTTCATTTCTTTTTTTTTTTTTGCATTACGCGGGCCTCTCACTGCTGTGGCCTCTCCCGTTGTGGAGCACAGGCTCCGGACACACAGGCCCAGCGGCCATGGCTCACAGGCCCAGCCACTCTGCGGCATGTGGGATCTTCCCAGACCGGGGCACGAACCCATGTCCCCTGCATCGGCAGGCGGACTCTCAACCACTGCGCCACCAGGGAAGCCCCATTGCAATTTTTCACAGTGCTCTGAACTATGCACTGCTAATGCAGGGCAATACACTGACTGCATCATGTAACATCACTAACCATACTGTACATTATTATGCAGTATCAGTAAGCCATTTATTATTTATGTTCTTCTACGTTTCCATACTTTATGGCTACTCTGTAGAAAAACAGCTTAACAACCAACAATGAAATTAAAATAGAAATGTTCATGGAGCTTTATATTAGGTCTAAAAAAAAGTCTATTTAATATCTACAGCATGGGGAATATTTGGTTTTATCCATCCATCCATCCATCCATCTAGCCAATGAGATTAACCACTCCTTATGTGCTAAAAACTGTGCTAGTATCTAAAAATTTAGTGGAAGTTAAATACTGTCTTCCCTAAGCTTATATCCTAGTAGAGAGAAATGGATAATAAGTAAGCAAATTAAATAATTTCAAATGTCGATGAGGGCCATGAATAAAATAAAACAATGTGTGATGCAGATAGGGGACAACTTTAGATGGGAGGGTACGGACATGCATCTCTGAAGCTTGCAGAAAGTTGACGTGAAGAAGAGCTTGGTGGGGCCTCGCTGGCCATTAGCTCTCTGTAAGTCTAGGAGGTGCTATGATTATTAAAAATAAACTGTAAGACAAAGGATTAATCTCCAAAATATACAAGCAGCTCATGCAGCTCAGTATCAAAACAACAACCCAATCCAAAAATGGGCAGAAGACCTAAACAGACATTTCTCCAAAGAAGATATACAGATGGCCAACAAACATATGAAAGGATGCTCAACATCACTAATCATTAGAGAAATGCAAATCAAAACTGCAATGAGGTATCACCTCACACCAGTCAGAATGACCATCATCAAAAAATCTATAAGCAATAAATGCTGGAGAGGGTGTGGAGAAAAGGGAACCCTCTTGCACTGTTGGTGGGAATGTAAATTGATACAGTCACTATGGAGAACAGTATGGAGGTTCCTTAAAAAACTAAAAATAGAACTACCATACGACCCAGCAATCCCACTACTGGGCATACACCCTGAGAAAACCATAATTCAAAAAGAGTCATGTACCAAAATGTCCACTGCAGCTGTATTTACAATAGCCAGGACATGGAAGCAACCTAAATGTCCATAGACAGATGAATGGTTAAAGAAGATGTGGCACATATACAGAATATATTACTCAGCCATAAAAAGAAATGAAATTGAGTTATTTGTAGTGAAGTGGGTGGACCTAGAGTCTGTCATACAGAGTGAAGTAAGTCAGAAAGAGAAAAACAAATACCGTATGCTAACACATATATATGGAATCCAAAAAAAAAATTGGTTCTGAAGAACCTAGGGGCAGGATAGGAATAAAGACAGACGTAGAGAATGGACTTGAGGACACGGGGAGGGGGAAGGGTAAGCTGGGACAAAATGAGAGAGTGGCATGGGTTTATATATACTACCAAATGTAAAATAGATAGCTAGTGGGAAGCAGCCGCACAGAACAGGGAGATCAGCTCGGTGCTTTGTGACCACCTAGAGGGGTGGGATAGGGAGGGTGGGAGGGAGATGCAAGAGGGAGGGGATATGGGGATATATGTATACATATAGCTGATTCACATTGTTATACGGCAGAAACTAACATAGATTGTAAAGCAATTATACTCCAATAAAGATGTTAAATAAATAAATAAATAAACTGTTTGGGGCATATTAATAAAAGCAGGGTTATGAGACAAAAAGCAGGGACAGACCTACTATCTCTGTAGCAGTTGCACCATTTCTAGACCAACTTCTGCAGTTGCAAATGCAATACTTTAAGAGAGTCATGGCATGTACAGAAGGGTCTAGAAACTACATCTTATGAGGACAAGGTTGAGAGAACTAGGGAAGTTGAGTTTGTAGAAGGAGTCACTAGGCAGTCATCTTGAAAATATCCGAAGAGTCAAGACGTTCAGAAGCAGAAGAGTCTAAGCTGTGTGATTTTCGGCGTCCACACCTGAACTACCAAGAAGACAGCACAGTGTGGTTCAAAGGAGGGGAGATGTTTCCAATAGAATCAGAGCTGCACAGAAATGGTATAGGCTTTTTTTTTATTTTTTCGGTACGCGGGCCTCTCACTGTTGTGGCCTCTCCCGTTGCGGAGCACAGGCTCCGGACGCGCAGGCTCAGCGGCCATGGCTCACGGGCCTAGCCTCTCTGCGGCATGTGGGATCTTCCCGGACTGGGGCACGAACCCGTGTCCCCTGCATCGGCAGGCGGACTCTCAACCACTGCGCCACCAGGGAAGCCCTGGGATAGGCTTTTTGAAGGAGTGAGCGCTCCTGAAGTATTCCAGCAGTGGCTGGGTAAACTCTATTAAAGATGAGGGATCTCTGTATTGGACAAAAGACTCCCTTTGAGGACACATCTTTAGGGATGGTGTACACTTTCGTTTCTTGGAGTGGAAGATCTTCTCTCATCTTGGAATCAACTTTAAAAAATTGAGCCTTGGGGCTTCCCTGGTGGCACAGTGGTTGAGAGTCCACCTGCCAATGCAGGGGACACGGGTTCGTGCCCCGGTCCGGGAAGATCCCACATGCCGCGGAGCGGCTGGACCCGTGATCCATGGCCGCTGAGCCTGTGCGTCCGCAGCCTGTGCTCCGCAACGGGAGAGGCCACAACAGTGAGAGACCCACGTACCGCAAAAAACAAAAAACTGAGCCTAACACAAAGGCTTGTTTGGCAATAGTGCCAAGACCATCGGATCCCTCCTTCCTCCTAAGAGCTTTCATTTCCTCGGAAGAGTGGTCTCCTAAAGGTCAGAGGCACCTTTAGTCATGGGCGTCTCTTGCCATTGGGGAGGAATGACGTCTTCCTGGGAGTTTTAGATCTTTGCAGGAAGATGTGTACTCCTCACCTTCCCTGCCCTCAGCAACAGTGAGGAGATGGAGGTTGGGAACATCTAAAGACCTACCTTGTTGATAGAAGTGACCTCCACTCACCAGTACTTCAGAGACCCAACCCATGGGGACCAGGAATTAAGTCAAGGCTCCCAATTACAGAAGTCGACTAGAAACAACTGCATGATCCTTCTGGTCAAGTCTGCACTGTGTGTGTGTGTGTGTGTGTGTGAGAGTAAAGCTCTCTTAACTTGCCACCTTCCAGCATCAGGTGACTGCACCTTGAGGCTTAGGTCAACGGCTCTGTTTCACCCAGCACCTCCGCAGAGCTTCCCTTAAGGCATAAGGCCTCTCCTTCTCTCTGGAATGTGGATTATCTCAGGCAGACAGGTGCTCCGCTTTCTGTTCCAAATGCCCTTTTTAGGTTAGGTCTTCAGAGAAAGCTTTAACTGAACTCTGAAGTGTAGCCAGCCAATTTAATTGCTCACTGTAATCATTTTATGAGTATGATTTGATAGCACATCAGTTCTGTCTCTACTCTGTTTGCTGGGATGGCAATGAAATCAAAACCTATTAAGATGAAGGCTTCGGGCAGCAATTAACTTGAATCCCAGACCAATATAGTTTTTGTCTATTTACCTTGAGAATAAAACATGTGTTTTTATAGGACAAAGGAGACCATGGGATATAAGGGCAGCGAGAAACCCATACCTGAGCCGCAGACAACAAAAACAAACAGTGCCAACAGCCATGGTCCCACAGGATATTTCTCTTCTTGCGGCCTCTGAAAGGGAATGGGAGAAAGTAAGATTAGCTTCATTCATTCAAGAAGCATTTACTGAGTATGGCTAGTCACTAGACACCTCTGTGAATGAGACAGACCCAGTCTCAATGCCAGCGGGCAGATCTAGACAAACAAAGTCAATTTTAAGGGATCAAGATGGGTTTGGAAAAATTCATCAATAACCTTACTTACACCCCTGTAATTCAATGAACTGGGTGGTTCTTAAATATTCTGGGGACCGATGAGGTATAAATACACAAACCAATACAGTGATTTGGGAAGCCAAAAATGATATTACTAATCATTGCTTCTGTCGGCTGAAAGCACACTTCATGCCAGGCGCTCTAGAAAGCAGCCAGCAACCGCGATCTCTAGCACTCACAACTCCACGCAAGGCCAGTATTATCATCTCCATCAAGGGGCCTCCACCTGAGGCTCAAGGTTTGCTAACTGGGACAACAGCTGGGATTCACATTTAGGTCTCCCTCTTTACGGAGCCAGGGGATTTTCCTCCAACAGATTCATCTTGAATTCCTGCATCCGTGGCTCCCAAGCAGGGTTACAGAGCACAGCCATTTTCTCAAAACTTTCTAAGCGCTAAAAACCTGGGAAGCCCCTGCCGTGGAAACCCTGGGAACAGTAGACGCACCACAGCAGCTGTGTATGGAGATGAGGCGAGCGGCGTTTTGTAATAAACCTCCTAATTCTCAATGACGCTTATGCTTGGGAGAAATCTCAGCACCCCCGGGAAGCATAAGGGGACTGTGGTTCCCACACGGACCCGCCCTGCGTACCGCCTGCTCTTCTCAAGCCAAAAGCACAGACGTCAGAGGAAGTCCCTCTGCAACTCCTCTGGGTCTGTGTGCAGGTAAGGCTTGGTCCTTACAAGCAAATCAATCAATGGAAAACCATGATTTTCTGAGAAAGGCATCTGAAAATGTGGGGAATTTCTCAAGTGAAAAGGGAGAAGGTAGAGTGAAGAAAAATGAAGAACTCACTAAATATTCCCTCACTGACATGAGCCCCAAATAGGCTGTGGCCAACATAGGTTAAAGAACTTATTTTATCATAGACAAGGCAACGGTTCTTCGGTTCTCAGCTTACCTGTTCCGTTCTCAGAGAACCTTCTCTCTTCTACCTCAGTTGAGTTCACTTGGCACTTAAATCACCAAGTACTTTTTTTAGATAGCATTTATCACAGTTTGTATCTCGATGTTTATTCCTGTGATATTGTGTTTGATGTCTGTCTTTCCACAGACTGTAAGCCCTGCAAGGGCAGGCACTGTGTCTCTTTCATATATCAATGTATAGCAACGTCTGGGCCAGAACTTAAACACAATAGATGCTTAATAAATGTTCTTCGAAGAATGAATAAGCATACAAGCCCCACTAAATACCATGTCTTAGGTCTGCTAGAGTGAAGAAAGGGTCTAGGAAGGATATTGGCTCTTTTAATACTCCCCAATTGGTGACAGGGTTATTCCAGCATTTCTCTAACTAGAGAAGTACGGATTAGTGGCAGGTAGAATCTAAGGATTAAGACCACTCACTTCTCCGACCTTGACCACTTGTATCTACCAACACTCTTGTACGGTGGCAAATCTCACTGCAAGGGAATAGATGGTTTCTTTTGACTAGAAGAAAGACAAACTCAGTCTTAAATAATTGCATAGGATAACCATAATCAGCATTTGTACTGTGTCATTCTTTGGCACTTATGACCAGGTCAAGATCAGGGCAAGTAAATAATAGGGTATTAAATAAAATTACCTGAACAGCGTGTGACATTCACCCCCTGCCCCTTCGCCAACTTCCTAATCACTTGTGAGGGTTGACCAGAAACAAATTCTGTTGCGGTCATCCCACTGATGCTAAACGAAAAAATTCATCTAGTTCTGTCTCCAGCAGAGTCAATAAGTGAATCCAGGAGCTTGTAGATGGATTTTTGGTCTCATGCAGATACCAAACGGAGTCATTTAGTTTTTCCTTTGCAGAAAAACTCAAATTATCAGGATACAGAGCTTGCATCCTGATAACACAAAATCCTTTTTGATGACATTCCACAGTGAATCGATATTATTTGTGGACTTTCAGAGCTCAAGAACTCGTTGCCTGGTCATGATACCACTACATCGTTTTTGGAGAGCTTTGAGTTACGTTTTTGGGGAAGCAGTGCCCAGCACAGATCTGTTGGGACAATTCACCTAAGCCTGAATCTATTGCTGGGAAAGGTAAGAAAAGCAGTAGAATCCTGCAAATGACATGGTTCGTTTCCCACAGGAATTTGTCACTCCCTGGGCTCCAAGATGCAGAGGGTGGCTTTCCCTGTGATAAGATACCAGCAGGGTAACTCGGAACTCTGACATTTAAATTGCCCTTTCATTCTGAAGATTTTACTACTGTATAATCATGCAATGATTATTCCATTTCTGTTATCTGGGAGAACAGTACTGATCTACTCCACAGCTGTAAGCTGATAATGAAATACCCAAGCATCTATATACAATTAAAGGAGTTTATTTCTGAACAATTCGTCTGAATTTTCTGTTAGAATCTGTTCATGTGTCTGCATTTATTGAATTTCATTCTGAACAAGTTGCTTCCTTCAAAGTATAATCATGTTTGATCTCTAATTAGGAAAATGAGATTTAAGATTTAAAGTGTTTCTTTTTGAAAGAGAATTTCATTTTTCTTTTTGGAGACTGATCCATTTACAATAAAGTTAACCAAAAAGCCTTTCTAACCAAGGGAAAATAAACATACATTGTGGCTTGGTTTGGAAAACTTTCATTACAAAGTTAGTAGGACCATTTAGAAACACTCATAGGCGCCAGGCACGTCTGAAGGGTCCACTCCATGGTATATCAGAACCTATTAAAAATCCATTCAGACCATACATTAAACATAATTTGAAAATATCCCTGAAAGTTAAGTTGAACTGCAGTCAAGTTGACTACATTTCCTAGATATTTAAACAGCTTTTCCTCCAATTTTTCCATTTTCTTTTCTTAGTTGGGAGCCAATCATTTTTGTTTCAGGTACCAAACATTTTCTAGTGGTCTTGAGAAGCTAGAAGTGGCAGACACTGACTTTATCAAGCCTAATGGGTAAAACAGCTCTGCAAAGCGGTTTCTGTTTTGTCGTTACTTCTGCAGTCAGATCAGTTGTCAACTGAGGAGAATTAAGTGACCTCTGTTTTTTCAGTTCACTAAAAGGAACCACACAACTAGAAATTTTCAGTAAATCAGCTAGTCTGTATGATATCCTGGGAAGAAGTGATCTCCTAGGGATATAATCCCCGAATACTTTAACATCCATTAAAAATTGTTTTTCGATGTCAATTTGGACAGCAAGTTGTTTTTTTTTTTTTCTGAGTAAAAATAGGGAAAACAGAGATCTACGTGAAAAATAGTTCCAATTCAATGGCATATTGGCGTTTTGCTGCCCAAGAACAACTAAATGATGTAACTCCCAAATGAGAGAACTTCCAGCACAACTTAAGCTTGTAGCTGCCTGTAAAGACCTAAATTTGATGCTGTTTCTCTTCCATAGAACTGCTTGGTTCTGCAGTAGAGATTGCAGATCCAGCTTTGTGCTCAGTTAAGCAAACCAGCTTCATGCCTTTGGCTAAAGGCAACCGCCTCAGCAAGTCTGCAAGCTCTTCCAGCCAAACCTCAAGTTTCAGCTGAACTTCCACTGAAGTGTCTGGGATAATAGATTCCATGCGCCTTTGCTCATACACTTGGAGACCAGCACGACTCAACAACTCATCCGAGGGCTGCCTCTGAATGTCCAGGACCACGGGCCTGGCAATGTCTGTTGAAGATCATTTGCTTTCCTAAAAACAAACAAACAAACAACACACACACACACACACAAAACCCTGTACTTAAGGCAGAGATTTTACGTAAGCATTGTTATAAAGCTTTAGTCTACGGTTTTGGAGGTGCAGAATGCCTGGCAATAAGCTAGTCTCTAAAGTTCTGGGACATACTATCAGGATGAGCCGGAATTGATGAGGTGAACAAGGGGAATGTTGCTTTTAAACTTTCGCCGAGTGGTGTGGGGCCTCACTGGAGGAGAGGCCAAAGAGGAGGATGGAGGGAAATACCGGCTGAATAGCATCCCTAATCCCCAATTTATACACGGAGACCATTACAAAGGGGCAGGAAAGAAAACCTTATCTTGGTGTGTTTGTTGGGGATGGAGGGCAGGGGATGAAGCCTAGGAGGGAGACGTGGCAAAGGGCCTCCCTTTACTCATTCATTCATTCATTCATTCAACAAAACCGAGCTAGCACCTACTAGGTTCCAGGCCCCGGCGTCAAGCAGTTGGTTTAACTGTTCCCTGAAGGATGTGACTTTCGTCTTTCCTGGAGACAAAGGCCCAGTTCTCTTCTGGGGAGGGCCTTCTGCGCCTCCGCGGTAGCCCCAGTAGACGCTCCCAGAGGGGCCACGGCCAACCAGGGCCCTCTCCGCTCAAGGGAGCACAAGTCCGCGCCGCGGGGAGCCCGGCCCTCAGTGCCCACCGTGCGGGACCCCGCGGGAGGGGCAGCCCGGGGCGCTGAGGAGGGGGAGGTTGGCCCCGCGCCCGCCCAGCCCGGGCCCGGCCCCACGCCGCCCGGTCAGCGCCGCCCCCGCCTTACCAGGGTTTTGGCTACATTCCCCCTCTGGGTGATGTTTTTGCTGTGCTTCTCGTTAGCCATCCGGATGCGCTGTTTGGCCACCATGGCTCGGGCGCTAGGAAATGCTCTCGACTCCCACCTGCAAGGATCCCCCCCCACGTGAGCCCCCGACAGGGCCAAGCGCGTCCCGCCGGCCCCGGGCGCTGCAGGTGGCAAAGCGCGGCCCCCGAGCCCCGCGCACCCCGCTCCCCAGCCCCCAACGAGCCGGCTCCAGAAAGAGGCCAGAGCCCGGACGGAAGTAATCTTTCATCTCAGGAAACCCTCTCCTACTTCCTCGCCATCCTTCCGGTCCCCCCAGCTACCTAACCAGCGCGGCTCCGAGGCGGGCGCTGCGGCGCGTCCTCCCCGCACCTGGTGGCCGGAGCGCAGCGCGCCGAGCGGCTCGGGCCCCGGGGCCCCAGGGGTGTCAGGATCCAGCGGCCGAACGCGGCGGGGCCGAGGGTTCCGGCGGCCGCGGGCTTTGTGCGCTCATAGCGGCCGGGGGCTCCTCGGGCCGGGACCCACTGGGTCCCGGGGAAGAGAATGGGGCGGCCGCGCTCCGAGCAGGGTCGCGCTGTTTCCCCCGCACCGCTGCCCCCTGGCCGAGGGCTGGGCTGGAGGTGGCGGCCCGGGGTCCTCAAAAGACAAGTTGAACAAGGACAGGGCTGGGCCCGCGCTGTTGGGGGACAGTCCGAAGGAGCCTCCCCTTAAGGGGTCTGGGGAAGGGCCTGCGCGAGGGAAGGCCACTGCAGGAGCTTTCTCAAGTGCTGCGAAAAGGGCCGAATCTCCCCGGGGATGGGGATAAAGAGGGGTGGGGATGGAGTTGGGACAGGCCTTCCTGCCTGGGTGATTGCGTGGGTTACACGGAAGACGGGCCGGTGCCACATCTGAGTGAAAAGTGGAGGAAGACCTTAGGCCTGCCGCCCAGGCGGGATTTGGTGATTGCCGACTGGAGGTGGGTCGCTTTGACCCCGTGGCGCAGCTTGGATCTCCTCCAGCCACCCTTGTCCCTGGGAGTCTGAACTGGGAGTTTCCCTGCGGTACCGGGATAAAAATGGACGTTTTCCTGACTCACAAACATTGGTACCAGGCCCTACCCATTGTCTAGTGTCGGGGAGGGGGCGGGGTGAAGGGGGAAAGTGGTTCAGTCCCTCACTTTTCCGTGCTGAAGGGATTGGAGTTAGCTCTTAGAAGACCAGAAGAGTTGAGAAGAAGAGGGGAGAATTCAGCCTGGAAGATCTGGGGCTTTGGGAAGTGGTGGGAAGAAAAGCTGTGAGTTAGACCAGCTTTAGCTAATGCACCCCAGTCCTTCCCCTTTGGGCATCCGTGGCTACGTTTCTACCAGGTTTTATGGAGTGAGATTCCCCTGTGGCAGTGGGAGGGTGAGGGAGAGCTCCTTCTTTCTTTGGGGGGCCCTTTACTAAGTTCATCCTCATGCCCCTCCCCATTCCTTGTCATGCAAACTACAATATGGACTGTTTCGGGGCTGCTTTTGGTGACACAGAAGCTACTTAGCATCATTAGTAAAGTCTGGTCATTCTTTTTCTCTTCTAAAGATCAGTCATTTCCAAACTAGTTTCCATTGGCTACACCGTTACCACCAGCACCACCCCGTAATTACAGGACCACAAACCAAGCAGGCCCAGCTAGTGTGGTGCTTTTATAACACTTGAATTCTTGGTGGGGAAGGGAGAGAGGGCCATCCCTCCCTCAGTTACGCTTGCTGAATCTGGCTGTGGTGTGAGGCCCAGGGCGTGCCTCTCCATGACTCAGCTTCCTAAGAGCTCATCCAGATTTCTGGAGAAGTGGCAGAAGGTAGGAACCCGCCTGAGCTGAGCACAGACCTGGCTCTGAGGAACATTAAGGAAAAGATACAGACAGAGATGGTTTTCCATTTGGGCCTGCAAGCAGGGAAATGTTCTTCGGGGTCAGATGCCTGCCTTCCCTCAGGCTTAGGTGTGCAGCCTTGTTGAGGAAAAAATTATTTTCTGAGCTCTGACTCCTGCTTGATACTGGCCAATTTTACTCTTTTTTTCTTGCTACGCTCCCCTTTTACAACATTTTAAATTAGTTTGTTTTATTTATAGACTGTGAACTCACAGTAAACATTTAAACAGAAATAGGGTATAGAGTGAAAAGCAAAGGTCTCATTCCCTGCCCCCTCCCACTAATTCCCACTGTTTCTAGGTTACCCTTGCAGCAGTTTTTACTCCTACATAAGCCTACTTATGTGTCCCTTTTTTAAAAACAAACAGAATCATCGTACTGTGCCAACTGTTCTGCCACTTGCTTTTCTCAATTTATTACAAAATGATTGCATCTACTTATATATCACTTCTTTTTTTAATAGGCACGTAGTACTCCATAGTATGGTTATACAGTAATATATTGAACTATAGCTGGACAGTTTTTGGTGTGTGTGTGTGTGTTTGCCGACAATGCTTTAGTGAACATTCCCGTACATATATGTTTACGTACTTTGCAGCTATATATGTGGAATAGATTGCAGGAGGTGAATGTGCTGTACTTTTTCATGGCTTCCGTGGAGTTACTGCTTCTGTTTGGGGTGAGGCAGTCTCCTGCTGTGACCTCCACTTTACCCACCCATACCCCACTTTGCCCTCTGCAAGTCTCAAACCTGTATATTGCCTGGAGGGTCACCATTATTTACTAAGAAGAGCTTTCCCTTCCAGTATGGGTCTTGGCCCTTCCTCTCCTTAGCTCCGCTGCCCGCCATAAACCAGAGGTTGACCGGGCTCATCCCAGAAGTCCTTCTGCAGGGAACCGGGGTCCAAGGTCTGAAGCTGTGTCCCTAGAGTTCAAGAGTAACCGCTGGGCTAAGAAGTAGCAATGCCTGGCATCATCTTGCTTTGTTGAGGTGGGAGGCTTGAGGAGGGGAATGGAAACTTGATCAAGACTAGAAAGTTCCTTTGGGTTAATCGTGCTGGCGGCAGAAATTTTGACATACCTTTAGCGTGCAGTGCTCAACCGCAACTTCTAAAATTGCCTTGGGTAAAGAAGCAGGAACCTGCTAACTGATTAAAACTGATTAATCTAGGCTGGAAAGTTTGTCAGCTTTTAGAGCAGGAATTCATAACAAGCCTGTGTCCATTAATCATAAGTCTGCTCCATTTAGGACCCTGGGTTTATGACTACAGGGACTGAGTTTCACCCATCTTTATAAATGATGTATAATCAAAGCTTACAGATGTGACTCTATTGAGCTGTGATGTAGTGGACACCTGTCATTTTTCTGTGGCTGACCAGCATGCAGACCTCACTTCTTTTGGGGGGACTCCTGCACTGTGTGAGTCTCAGGACCATTTCTCCCACTATGGGAGCTCACTGGGGACTTGGTCTCCCAAACCCTGGCATCTAGGGCCGGGGTGTGTGACCCAGATTGGCCAGTCAGATGCTCCTGTTTGGAACTTTGAAGCTTGAGCAGGCAGTGCAAGGATAAAGGGACAGGTTAAACTTCACCCTGGTGGTGGGGTCTTTAAGACACCGGCAGTATCTACTAGTGGAGGTGGTAGTGGTGGACCCGGTGGTGGTGTCTCACTTATTATGTAGTACCGGCAATCCTTACAATAAATTCTCCTGCTTTGGACTTCCCTGGTTGCACAGTGGTTAAGAATCCACCTGCCAATGCAGGGGACACAGACTCGCGCCCTGGTCTGGGAAGAGCCCACATGCCGCCGAGCAACTAAGCCCGTGCTCCACAGCTACTGAACCTGCGCTCTAGAGCCCACGTGCCACAGCTACTGAAGCCCACGCGCCTAGAGCCCGTGCTCCGAAACAGGAGAAGCCACCTCAATGAGAAGCCTGCACCCCACAACGAAGAGTAGCCCCCGTTCACCGCAACTAGACAAAGCCCGCACGCAGCAACGAAGACCCAACGCAGCCCCCAAAATAAATATATAAATTTATATTAAAAAAAATTATTCTCCTGCTTCTCTTGGCCACAGTTTATATGTCTTGTTCACAACCAAGAACACTGATTAATGTACATGAAAACAGACAAAAACCTAGAATGTCCTCCTTGGTCATTTCCCTTTCCAGATCTGGAATGATGACCATCTCACTTGAAAGTTTTCAGACATTGTCAGCTAGTGGCCTCTCTTCAACCTAATTCATCAAGGGGACCTGAGTGTAGAGGCCTTGATGACAGGAGCTGTGGTGGCCAGTTATTGACTATGAATGAGCCTGATTGACAGGTACACTCTACAAAAGTAAAACCAAGAGATCACTGACACTTCAAATTAATATTTTCAGTTTCTTCTTCATCCAAACCATTTCCAATACTGCTGGAGAAGAGGCAAATTCGGTAGATCATCTCTTTTGCACATATTATGTTCCAGCGGAAACGTTCATGACGATGTCTCAACTGTAGGTAGAGAAAAATAAGAGAGCTCACAGCCAGCGTTACCTGCTGCACGCGTTAGAATCAACTCAAGGCATTCAGTTATGACTTTACAGAATCATGTCACATTGTAACTGGAATGAAACTCAGTCATTCCTTTCACGTTTATTGAGTGTCTACTATATGCCAGACACTGTTTTAGACACTGAGAATTCAGTGATTGATATGAGTTTCTGCCTTTAGAAAGCTCCTGGTTGTGACAAAGGAGTAAACGTTGGGAGACTGCCCTCATTTCACAAATGAGCAAAAGCCTTGGAATTGCAAAGGGAGTTGTAGCAGAGCTGAAAGCAGGATTGAGACCTCTTGGCTTCCTGTTTCCTCAAAAGAAACATTTACTAGGTAAACTTGAGTGGGAGCCAGGGTGCAGCTTTGGGAGATTCGGAGCAGCCTCTATATGCCCAGAAAATAAATCACACACACACAAACGTGCACACACACATGCATACTGCAGAAGAAAGATAAACTATGTTCCAGACATCCAAGCCTTGAACTTTGGTCCGTAAATGGTGGCACAAGACAGACTTTAACCGTTATGGTAACCATGGCATTCCCTAACCCTAGAGGTGATCAGACTAAGCTTTAAAATGCAAGATGTGATTACCCATCTCCAGTCTGTAATTGCCTGGCCACAGCTGTTATTAATAGCAGTAAAACCGTCATATCCCGA